AACTCTTGTCCAGAGCTTGAGTCTCGATCTTCATTAATATTTGAAATCCGGACTTGAAATATTCATAAATTGAATTGAAGAGTCTTGATGGACAATGATGTCCCCAATTTGTCTTTTGTTCGCATCTTCTTTTTGAAAAAAATGTATCAACTTTTGTAAAGTGACTTTAATAAAGTTATTTAAAATGGAATCTCATTTATTATAGTTTTCTTTTTTAAAGTTTTATCATTATATGCCTTCATTTATAAATTAATGCCGGTAAGAACAATTTTTGAGGTGGAAGTCATAATTGAAATAAAGTTTTTCTTGAAGAATGAACCCTATATTGTCTGTATTCGTCCAAATAACTCGGTCCATATAGTTATTTTAAATTCTTTTGAGCATTTTCTTGGGCAATCATTTCGTCAATGTCAATCTTAAGGCAATTATCATCACTCTGAGCATATTCAGTTTCTGAAATTGATCTTGAAGAACTTGATTTTGATTTCTTTGAGGTTGATTCTGTCACAGAAGCAATCTTTTTTGAAATAATTTCTAGTTCCTCTGGTGTTTTGCATTGAGCAAATATAGCTAATAATCTTGATTTTTCTGTAAGAAAATCAGCTTGTTTCTTTTGTTCTTTCTTTGAAAATTTTGGAACACTAATAGTTTTCTGCTCTTTAATATATGAACAAACGACTTTTGGACAGCAATTTTCTCATGAAATTTGGACTACCAATTGACCCCTCTAAATTATATTTTTAGCATTGAATTTGAAATTTGGATTTTGAACAAGATTAAAGTCCCAGCAAAATATTCATGAAATTTTGAAGTTGTAGTCGAATTAGATCAAAACATTTTATTGAGACTTTAAAAACGTCTTGACCTCTTTTTTGAAGAATTTGAATCCTTGACTAGTAAAACTGGATAAAATCGTCCCATCAATTCCGAAATATTTGAATCAAGTTTGAAACCAATTTGAAAAACTTGAAGGGCATGCTTGGTTGAAAAGAATAAACCAGGAGTGTGTTACTGGTATAAAGTAAAAAACATGATACCAAGCATCATTGTAATCAAAATAATTGAAATGAGAATCGAATGTTTCATTCTTTGATAAACACATTCTCTTCTCTTCCCATGGGTTTTGTCCTCAGTCTCCATAAGACTAAAGGTGTCAATCCGGGTGATCTGGGCTGGGTCGGCCCACCACATATGAGTCCGGTAACGGCCCGCGTGAAATAAAGTCCGCCCACTACGGGTTTTGGGCCGGTTCCGAGTTGGCCCACAAATTTTGGACTACAACCCAGGTCCACCCGCTGACCTATCTGGGTCGAGCCCATGTGAGTCACGGGTCGCGGTTTGTTCCGATTTGGGCCGTATTATTATATAAATAAATTATAAAAATATAGAATTTTTTATATCAAAATTTTTTTTTGTTAAATGTTAACTA